TCTCTTTCGAGAGAATCCGGCACTAAATATCATCCTTTTAGAGTTCCAAGTACGACAAAAGATGGCTGAGACAACATATTTAGAATTCGGTTAAGCGTTGGAACTCGCTGTGCTCAAGCCTTTTTTTCTCACTCTTGAAACGTAAGTTGCTGAGGAGGAGGGAGATGAATGAAGGAGTTCGAGTACCTCTTGATTCACCATGGTTCTCTTTCCGTATTTTCTTCGCCTTCTGGGTCTTGCAGATGGGGGCCCGGTCCATGCTTCTGTGCAAGAAAAGCTTTGAAGGTCGATAACAAAACATATCACTGCTATTGCTACTCCTAGGCTAAGAAACATGATCACACTTCGTTCAAATGCCTATAGTAAATTCAGGCAGCACTGGCCTACGACGGCTTACTGTTCCACTTTATAGCCTTTTAAAATCCCACCTGCACTAGCTTAAATTGAACTTCAAAACACAATTAAGACTTATGTGCGCTTGATTAAATATTTGTCGAAGTAAAAATGTAGAACTACTTATTTTTCATTCTCCTTAAAAACTGTTTTCAACTATTTTTTCACTGTTTTGCGTAGGCCAAAATTAAAAATAAACACAAACTAGTTGTTTAACGGTAGAATGCCCATTCAATTCTAGTTAAAGGGTACAATTTCCCATAGGCGAAGAAGGTTGTCATGTCAATTTGTTAGTCCATCTAATGCATCATTTTATGGAAGCCTTTCCTACTGATAGAATCGCGTTATAACAAACACGTTATTCATAAGACTCTTAAATGTGATCTGTCGTTTGGCAGACGACATATTTCACAAAAACTACTTAATGTCTGGTCGTGCAGTCATAGTTTACCTCGGAACGTGCGAAAAACGGATTCAGAAAAGTTACATATCGATCATTGAGTTGTTATCAGACCCTAAGATTCCCAAAAGCGACCTGTCGCTCTACAGACTGAGCTAACTCTAATGCAGTATAATCCATGGGGCAATAATTGAAACTAAATACCCATCAAGAATAAAAACAGCAAAGGCGTATGTTCATGTAGTTTTTTACTTTGCTCACTAGTGGTTTTAAGAGTCACAAAAAAAGTCAAGAGAGTTAAACCACTTTTATTATGCGCTTTGTCTTTTAACACAAATTCTGATCATTACCTTAACAGTGTCCCTCGAGAACTAATTAAAATGAAAAGGATACTGACAACAACAGTATCCGGCCAACACTGGTCCGAATATTTCGTTGCTTGTTATCTTGAACGTCTTGGTTACCATCCACATGTATGGTATTTTGTACGTGACGTAACTGATTTAGTTACTAACAGAATTTCTTGCATCAGCAGCTCCAACTCATGATAACTTTGCCTTCTCGGAATTATAATTATTATCTTTTTTTTTTTCATTCTTTCCTTCATGCTTTTCGTAGTTGTCAAAAAAGCAGGTGTGAGTGCGATATAAAAAGGAAATGAGCTGTCGGAAAAGAAGTGTCAGCAAATTAATGTATTGCTTTCTTTGGCTTTTTTTATTTAATGATGTCATATTACAAGGGTGACAAAATTACAGTTAAGCCAAGAAACAAAAGGTCGAAAGTTGAATTCCAAAAAGAACGAGAATAAATGCCTTTCTTGGAATTTGCAGAACCAGAGACAACACTTTCAGTCTCAGCCTTATTACCCCCAAATATGATGGATTACGAGAGCAAATAGCCGACCATCTTACTGAGTTTCATCCTCCTAACGATGCACTCTGCAGGGTACGTACTACTAAACTTGCGCAACACCAGGCGCAAAGCCTTACTTATTGTCAACGAGACAACCGAGCTAAGAAGTGAAGTTGCCTCGGCGGCAGATTCAAAATCCAGCGCAATGTAGGTAAAAACTCTCAAATTCTGCGTAACCCTCTAAAATTTGCATTTTTGATTATATTTGGGTGTAAGTTAGACCCCATATTTGGGCAGTGACGTTATGATCTTGTATTTACAACTCCGTGGTTCGAAATTGGGTGATCCCGTGTGTAGCTGTTTTTTTTTTCTGTTCAAGAGGCCCTAACAGGTGAGCAAGCTTTAATACGATTTCTAGTTTGCAGGGCTATTGGTGCTCTAGTTTGCTTTATAAACTGCGTTCAAAGCAATAGCTGATCAAGGAATAGGGTTTTACGCTCCAATTTTTGTCAGAACCAGCTTGTTCTTCGCAGCTCGATTTACATTGAAGTAGCGTGTTCGCTTATTTATTCAAAACCAGGGTTTTCAGTGTTACTGAATTTCTTGCGGTAGCTAATCAAGGAATAGGGTTGTATTCTCAAAACGTTTATCAGAACCAGCCTGTTCTCCGCAGTTCGATTTTAATCGAAACGGTCCTCACCTCCCTTGAAGAATGCAACTAATTTGCGGACCTTTTGTTTTAAAGACCATCATTATAAATCATTTTACCTTTAGAGGGACTCTTTGTCCCGTGCCACTCGATCATTAGATCTTTGTATTTTAGTCAAGTTTATATTTTTATACCTCGGATACATTATGCCCCATTCTCGTGCTTTTCACACATTTTGCTTACACCAATCCTTTCATATGTATATTACCATGCGGAATATAGAGGTATTTATATTTTTTTAACCCAGATAATACCGTTGATCGGCGAAAGCTCGGAATTTAATTTTAATTTTTAATTGTCAGTAGCAGTCAAAGGCCTCACTTGAACTATATTTTACTTTCTAACGTTTATAGTTTTGAATTTACATAAAATATAAGTGCTGACTTGTCAGTTCTAATTTACCAACAAAGCTTCAAGCTACGTTGTTATTTTTTAATAGAAGTGAAAGCTAGGGTGTACCAAGGTTTCTTCTAAAGTTGAGCGCCATCCTTTTTTTATAGCGAACTCTAAAATTGCGGTACAAATGGCGAAGATCTGGATAGGCACATTCTACAAAAGATAAACGAATTCGCCTCATTGGCACTTGCCCGAAGGTTTCCCCCTAGTTGTCGCTTTATTCTTGTTTTGCAGTTTTACACGTCAGCTTGTTAAGACTTTGTTAAACCTTGTTCACGGCTTTCCTCCACAACGATCATTCTTTCAAACTTGCCTTCTACGAATCATTAGAGTTAAAGATATATTTACTGGTTGGCTCGAAATTTCCATCTTTTGCCTTCAATGGTTGAGTTCGAGACTGATCTACGATACTTTTTGTTTCAAGAACCTCTCCGCTCACACTCAATTAGTGGGCATTCCGCGGCGTAACCAGTATCACGCGTGGAACTTCTGACACTGACTCCCTCAAGTTTTTGTTGTTTTTGTTCTTGTTTTCCTTTTGCTGTTTTGTTTAGTTTTTCCTTCATATATCAGTATTTCACACCTCATTCCTTCATCTGTGCCTTTTTTTAACGTAAAATACTGCTGCACTCCTATCTGAATGGCTGGGATTATGCAAATTTTCGAGAAGCTTATCGTACCACTTGCAGTTGGCGCAACGAAAAAAAGAGGGGCTTTAAGCAGTGCTACTATACTACTACTACTACTACTACTACTACTACTACTACTACTACTACTACTACTACTACTACTACTACTACTACTACTACTAGTAATCATATTGTACTAGGAGTAATCGAAGCTTAGGAGAGTGCGTTCGATATGTTTGTCAGGCGTACAGGTAGCAGTTAAGAGGGAAGGGTGGTTGCGATATAGATAAATATGATTATGGCATATTTTGAACGTAAGGGTTGCATATAGCGAAACCTCGACTTAAACTGTGTATCATTATAAGAAGGTTTTGAAAAGATATCGTATGGTTCGGTGCCAAGTGCTTGTAACCGGAGGAGATATTGGCCAGAGTGAGTCGGGCGTGTAAATAGAACATTTTGTTTTACTGGCGCGATTAGAGGGCGCAGTTACTCAAAGGCCGATTAGAGCTTTACCCTGGATTCTTTTTCTTTCTTCAAAAACATTTCTTTGCATAATTTTCTGTGTTATTTTTAACATCATCCAATCATCAACTTGTTGACAAAATTAGTTAAATTGAATTTACTGTTTTAAAAGCTTTCACATCTGAATTCAAACTTCGCACTAACCCTGTAAAAGGCTTCAATGGAATGTGTGTGCGGCTCACGTCAATAACTTTTGCAGTAATTTGGTCGAGCGTATTGATTTCAGTGACTCGAGAGTGGCGCTACTGTGCGCTACGTTTTTTCTAATAAATAACATAGAGGTAAGAGTTCGTTTGTCCGGTGCTGAAACTATCACAAGTCATGATCAAATGGCGCAGCCGAGCTTCACATCTCGGAAGATTTACTTTGTGGCACAACGGCTGCCGTTCTACGCAACTCGGTAGATTTACATTGTGACACAACGGGCGCCGAACTAAACCCGGTTTGATGCATGCACCAGGAGCAGACATTTTCCAACGTCAGTGAGGAACCATGCTGAAAAATATGAAGGCTTATAATCCAAAGTAAAATTTAACAGCAAACTTCTAAAAGACGAACGCTTTGGACGATTCAGCAAACACAGATCGATGAACGCTTTAGGAAGACAGACCTTTGAAAGATAAACGCCGAGGACACAAGAATCACCACGTGAGTTAGCGCGTCAAAGTGAGGCAAATGTGTGTCGACGACGAAAATGCAACCACAAAAAATCCTCCCTTATTAATTGCACAGGACATCCAATAATGCACAAAACACCCAACACAAATTAGGGGTTGCGTTCTCGTACCTCGAACGCAATTATATTTATTATATTATATTATATTATATTATTATATATTAGTATTATTATTACTTTTATATTAGTATTTGATATAAAACTAATAATAGCCCTAATATATAATAATATAATTACAAATATTTATTAAATACTATTACACAACGAGTACTAAGCCAATAAAGAAAGAAATAGACACCCAGGCGTAAGGAAATCAGAAGATGCACAGTAATCTTAGTGCTTTAATTTATTTGCCTTGTCCGTGTTTATTTAATACATGGTTCAGTTTTAGTAGCATATAAATCCACATTGCGTTTGCTATCAAAGAGTCATCACTTTCTTCCTAAACTGGGATCGTTTTCTTGATGATGGGGGAAGCGGTGGAGGTGTCGACGGAGGGATGGTTGGTGCATTGCAGAGAATACTGCGATAAGTGTTGCATTCACGCTGCGAAAAAAAAAAAAACAATGAAAGGTGAAAAATAGCTTCAATCATTTAGTTCTAAAGCATAGTACGTCCCGCCAGTTATGCCCAAGCTTAGCCTTCGTGCCAGGCGCTAAAAAAAGGGGAGAGGGGCAGGCGCACACGAGAGGTAAGGGATCCCCACCCACCTCCCTTTTTATCTTCGTTTCCATCATTTTCGACGTTACAAAGGTTATATAATATAAAGTTCTACTTCAGAGTGAATATATTCATAATTTAGTCTGACTAAATTTGAGTAGTTTGAAATGAAGGTCGCAATATACATGATGATATCAGTTTATATAAATGAAGGGTTTTAAAATTTATTTCTACTACTCAAATTATTGCCTGTTATACCAGTTTGAGTCAACTCAAGGCTTGCCCCATTGTTTACCCAAATTCATTGGTTTGGCCTAGGACATAAATGGGGTGGCCTTTGAATCCAGTCTTGAAATGGAAACAGACTGAGTTCCCGGGGAGGGGAGGGGGGGGGGGGGCTAGGTATAGGATAGGGTATATAAATCAGAGCGTTTGGGTCTAGAATTGGGTATCATTTTTCAGGAAACTGATCAGTTGGCTGAAGATTTTATCTAGAGTAGGGGCTGTGGTATAAGGTTTTGTTTTGACTAGACTGTGCTAGTGACCTCAGTAGTTTCTGGAAAACAGCTACTCTAGAATAGGGGGGATTTGGCGAGTTTACTCTAGTATAGGGTAGCAAAATTCAGCTGAACTAGCTCTGGTATAGGTCAAGGGTTCCAGGGTGCCAGCGGCACATCCCCTCCCAGAAATTCCTAAAGTACCCCCCTGGGACTGAGTGTTCCAACATTTTGGTTTTAGGCAACTCAAGCTACAGTGCAACCCCGTTTTAAGAAACCTCTGTATAACGAAGTCCTCGGTATAACGAACGATTTTCTTCAGCCCGGCCAAAATTACAGTAAAATGTATGGAACAGAACATCTATTTAACGAAATCCTCTTTATAACAAACCCAATCCACAAGTGCAAACGTAAACTTTGCTTTGATATAACGAATAAATGAAAGTATGTGATAAAAGATGAATGCCAAACAGACCAACAAGGATAAAAGTTATTTTGATAGTAGTTTTAAGCAGTTTTGTTTGCCTGTTCTTGAGCTTCTAGTGCTGTAGCTACGTATAGCTCCGTTTCGGTACTGACATGTTATTACAGGGTAATTTTTCAGATCCAGAAATGCTGAGTTTTGTAAATTAATTATTAACTTTACCCCGCATATAACGAACATTTTGGTAGTTTTCCCAAAAATTCGTTAAATGGAGGTGTTCGATGTAACGAACCCTCGATTTAACGAACAAATTTCGCCAGTCGACGTCCCTTGCCACTTCGTTAAATCAAGGTTCCACCGCAGCTGGAGCCGGGTCACCAAACTGCGGCTATAAGGGCAATGACTCTGTCGCCCCATGTAAGGGAATCCGAGAAATTTTTGCTTGTGGATTCCGGAATCCCGGGCTTTGACATCCGGAATACAGCTCCTGGAGTCCGGATCCCACTAGCGACAGGAAGCCGGACAAAGAATCGGGATTACGGTACCTAGAATCCGGAATCCACGGCGTAGAATCCAGAATCCAAGACTGTCTTGGATTCCCTTACACGGGGCGAACTCTGGGAAGCTGGAAAAACTATGACTCCTGTCTTGAAGTCTTCTCATTCCTATAGTCTAACTCAATATAAAGTTTTGAAGACAGAGAAACTCCTGTAGAGCAGGAACTGTTATTTCACAGTAAGCTCACAGTACAAACAACGTCAATAATACGTTAGTTTGCAACCCTAGATAATGATTAACCAAAGCAAGGGGCGTGGATCATTTCTCATCTTCCTGTAAGAGACCAACCATTTAATTTTTGATAGAAAATAACGCGGTGAGCAGTTTCTTCCGTGTGAGCCAAAGCACCCACCCACCCCTCTCCCGCATCCAAAACTAAATGGTCTACCCCTTCTATTAGAAACTTCAAGGACAGAGGCATCAAGACTGGGGATCTTATATACATCAGTATTACAATCAACGTTTTGAACATCAGTGCAACTAAAATCAGTACTATTTATTGAAATGTAAATGTAAAAGGTCAGCAGTAAAACAAACAAGCTAAGAAAAATAAAAAAAGAAGAAGAAGAATAAAGCATGTAAATAAATAAACTCAATGGAAGTTGCATCATAACATAGATGGTATAGACTGCCGGTCTGAAAGATGAACGTTTTCGCTCTATTGGATTTTTACGGCTCTCCATGTTTTCCTGTGGAAAAGGGAGAGGATCTAGAAAATATAAATCCGTTCATGCAAAGACTGATTCTTGAATGAAAATTGTTCCCTTAATATTTGAAAAATGGGTTAATAATTCTTTTTTAGCCCAAACTAACCTTGGAAGGATGAGACGGTCGCGGCCACCAAATTCCAAATCTCCGTACGCGTTCTCTACTGGTCGCATCATTAACGTTTGAACTTTCACTTGCTCGCCTGCAATACGCCAGCCGACCTATCAACGACAAATAGGCCGAAATATGGACCACCAGTAACAAAACAAAGAAAATCGTTGTGATAGCACGAGAAAGACTTGGAGTCATCGTTTTGCGCATACCGTGCTGATTTGCGTCTACCCGCAGTTTGTACATTTGCATTTAAGTGGATGAGCAGAACTAATATAATATTTGTTCGCCTCCGGGACAGTACGCTAATTATTGAAATTGGTGCCTTTTAGATAAAACAAATAGATATACGTTAAACTAATAATTGAAGCAATGATGCTCTGAGAAGTTTAGCCATGTTGGTTACGGATTTTAATTGTTTTTCGTTTCAGATTTCCCGAGGTTTTCATAGAGTTAATAACCCTCTTCAGCTTGTGCAAACAGAAATAACAAAATGAACTACTCATTGCCAAAGGAAATTTAACCTGCCTCAGAGCTTAACAGAAAGATTGATGCATTAAAAGCTCCCTCGACCTATTTTTCCGATACGTTTTGATATAAGCTTAATAAAACATCCCTCTCCTCTTGTTACCCGAGGCCTGATATCAACAATTTGCAGGGAATTTTTCTTGCCGTTATATGGTAAACTGCTACTACTAACAAAAGGAGACATTTAGGTCAGATGGGTTTCATTTGAATGGTGTCATAACTTATATATTGACGACAATGAATTCCATTGCCTTTCTCCTTGATATTCATTATGGGAAAAGAATATAGGCTAAGATGTATAAAAGAATTACGCGTCACATTCGTGGATCGTAGTTAAAACCCCTTTTCTCCTTTTGCTGACGTGTCAAACTGCCAGAAAAAAAGTTTTTAGAAAAATCTTCCCCTAGAAATGTCCGACCCATACTGGTACCAAGCTGATTACCATTTGCTAGCACATTTCCTCCCCACAATATACAGGTTTCTGCTTCAGTAATGAAAAAAAAAAAAGGCAACGATGAGAAGATACAGGGAATGAACAAACTGGGAGGTTTTCATAGCAATATATCTTATGTAAACTAGTAGGAAGAAAGATGAGTGAAACTCAAACACAATTTTTTTGTCTTAAATAACTCTTTGGTATTTTTACTTCTTTTGATTAATGCTGTGTATGATCAAAAATGTCATTCTTTGTCGTCATCAACTGTGTTGCCTCAAGAATAAAATTGAGAATCATTATCGGATAAGAATTTCAATTTCTTTTCCGTAATTACATTTATGATTTCAAGCTTTTTACGTAGTTAAACCTATTATGAACCATTTTGAAGTTTTGAATCTTTTTAGCCCTTAATTCACGAGGCCAGAAACCATAAATATTCATGCCACAATCTCTGGGGAAAAAGGATCATTTCTCGCATTATTTTTAGATCTATTTAAAGCGCTTTTCAGAACACGCCAACTCTAAAGTTCAAAAGCCTCCTTCACAATTGTGTCTTTCGCGGCTGTCAATCATAATTACTGTCTTGAAATCTCAACTGGATTTATTTATGAACAAACAAACTCAAAGTAAAAGGTCAGCCATTTGGCAAGAGCACTTGGTAAGAACGTCTAAAGACCAAGTCCCTAGTGTTACTTAGCAACCATGAAATATTAATGCTCAATATCAACACAATTACGATCGCCAGTAAAGAACCTTAAAGCACAGAAACGCACAAAACGGATTGAAATCCACCACTCACAGATCACAAACTTTGACCTTTTGAACTCGTTGAAATAAGCTTCCGTTTCCTAAGAGGTACGTTAAAATTATTGACGGCAGCGAAAAACGCAAACGTCAGTTAGCTTTTGAAGTTCAGAGTTCGCGTGTTTTTGAAAAGCGCAGTAATATTTTAAGACGAAATAAAGTAACTGTACATAACTACAAGAAATCATGCACCCCATAGTGATCCCACAAAAGCCGTATACTGGATTTTGTTTCACAAAATTCTCAAGCAACAAAGTCCATCAACATTTAAAAAGGAAGTAATCATGATGGTTTTAATACCGCAAATTTCATCTGTAAAAAGACAATACTTTTTTTCCCAATGGCCATTAAATGGCGATAGTAGTAAGAGACTACGCAATTTTGCATTTTTTTTAATTCACACCTCTCTACTCTATTGTTGCACTACAAATTGCCTTGTAAATTATCCGTGGTGTAATTCAGCTGGCCACCAATAGAAACTTTAAACTGCACCTCTCAGCAAACACCTAAACAAAGGATTATTTAGGGAACGTCTTAAACAGTTTATGAAAACAAGGCCAACGCTAATTTTGATCAAGTTGTTTTTATTTGATACCAAATGAACATTTATGTCATATATATCTTCCACTAGCTTCTGCTTCAAGGAACACTAAGTGGCCTGGAACAAAATCACGTGCGTAAATCTTCGCTGTCCTGTTAAAGCATAAAAAAAAGAATAATATCATTGATATTCGTCTGTACGTTAATGCCTCTCTCGTCCAACTGTAAAGAGCAAGCTAAATAAAGCATTGCTGATAGTGTAAACACTAGAAGATAGCTTCCACAAAAGTCACTCTTATTTCATGTTAGTATTAGATGGCACTATTGGGCTACGGGTTTCTGGATAACTTTGTGAGGTCTGAAAATGAAGAAATGATCGTCGCAGTGAACGCAATTTATGCAATTGCGTAAAGAAGCCTGAAAAAAATTCAGGACTTCAACGGGGTTTGTAGGGTCTACCAAACACATCTCAACTCAACACAACTCAACATGCGCTGCAAGCTAATTTCCTCAATTTTCGTGCTTAGATCAAGTTGACGATGGTATATTGATAAAAAATTGTGTTTTGTGGGTCGAAATCTGCTTCTTGGGAGGCCACTAGCTTATCCCACAAAACATATGCGCAAATTCATACCCCTATAGACGATCACATACAAGGGAAGGTCTCTGCAGCGTTACTTCTCGCTTTTTTTTTCTGCATGTGTTATAGCATTTTTGATAGACTAAAGCTGTGACGGGCTCCTTAAGTTATTATACAAACATGTTGAAGCCTAGAACGACCTAAAACAGGCTGAAAATTCTGATTTAAATTAACATAGTATTCTTTGGCATTATTTGGCACGCTTGTCTGAATTTTCATCTCAAAACTGGGATTGGGTCCAATAGCATTTGTGATCTCAGGAACCTATTACCACCAAACATTGCCAGCAAACTGCGCACAGCTGCTAAATTCCTTAGAAAATGAGTTTCTGTATGTTTATAAAATCCATTTTACCATAAAAACTACGAACGAGGATTTGAATTTTTTTCAACATTTCGTTGCTTCAGTTACTGTTTAGATTAGATGGTGTAAGCCTTTTTTATTCTTTATTTCAGGTCGTTGACGAAGTCTAAAACAAAGATTGTTCGAAAAAGGACACCTGCCACGTTCACAACGGCAAAAAATTAAACTTGTGATATTTCAAAAAGGAGTCCATTATCGTATACCTGCTTATTTCGAAACCTTCGTGTGTATTCTTTTAAATCATACCCGCTGCTTTCTATAAACGGCATGCTCCTTTTAAACTCACTCAGCTGGTTTATCTCGTCATCTTTCGAAGGAACGGAACCAATATAAGTCTTTGCTCTTTCCCACAGAGTCAGGAATAGAATCAAAGTAAATAACCTTCCAGGCATCTTAGTAACCTTTGCTTCCTGAAATTTTTCAAACTTTCGTCGTTTGTTATGGTCAAATAAATTGAACTTATGGGTTACATACTCCATTACTGATGATTATTTATAAACGGAGAATAAACATTCAAGCGGACCGAGAGGGCGAAATGTTTACATTTCAGAACTCAATTTTGTCTTTAAGTCAATGATAAAACATGAAAAGGTTATCTGGCTTATGTGCTAGCTGTCAACTATTTTGCAAAGCCAAGAGAGCCTTCACCATCTTTGATAGTAAAGTGCTCCAGCAAAAAGTCAAAAAGCTCTTTATAATTTCTTTCCTTAGTCGCTTTTTGGTTCGTTTCCGTTTTCATTCGTATACCACTTACTCATTAATCCCCTAGTGGAGCTATCACCATTGATGGCAGATAACACTCACCTCTATCTACAAAAGTGTTGATTATAATGAAAATGACAGTGACTGTTATTTGTTTACGAGTGTGTTTATTTTTTGCGATACTGCTTCTTTAGTAAGGGGACTTTTAGCAAAACGCGCAGTGACTTTAAATTAGCCGGGCGTGATGAGATTGGGAAAGTGTGTTAAACTCTATTCGAAGATTCGTATTATTTTGGTTTCGTTTATTAAGTATACATTTCAAACATACAATCTCTCTTTTTGTTTTCCATTTTGCCTTGCCCTAAAGGAAAGAAAGTTCCTCTTTGTAAACATATTTAAGTCTTCAAGTAAGCTGCAGATGTAAGCCATCCGCTGACTTAAGGTTGGTAATTTGACCATGGCCATTCTGGTTTCTGAGCCGCGGTTGAGCAGTACATCTTTTGGAGGTTCAAGCAAACTCGATCTTGAAATCTTACAAACTGTTACAAGTGAGAGAAGAAGAGTTCAGTTAGTTACATGAAAAGATAATTGACTCTTACCTATGTTTGAAATTGAATAACTGCAAAGTTTAGACAATCGCATAAATATCCCAAGAAAGACTAAATTACACACTTTGTTGAAGCTGTAGTCAAGATAAGAAAGTATCACTATCACTTCGATTAAACTGAGCCATTTTCAATTGCCCATTTTCTTAACGCTAACGATGCAAAGGCACACATATGTAACATGCTGTTGTAATATATGTAATATGCTTCCATGTTTTGCTCGCCAAAGGAAACAGTTATTCGAAAGAGTAACTGCCAAATTTTGATAAAAATGTAATAGAAAAATCAGTTTCAAAAAGTATCCATATATAGGTTGTCCTTTATCTGCCAATGTCTGTTATTTTTATTTTTATTTTTATCATTATTTCTATTTTTTTTTTTAATTTTTTGACGAAAGACGTTTTTCTCCTTTTTTCTTCCCTTTTTCTCTCCCTTTTCGTCTGTGCACTTAAATCTTTTACAACAGACAACTATGTTTTACCTTTTTAAATCTTTTCCTTAATTTCCTGTTCTTAAATAATTGAACGCACTCGTCTGCAAATCCTGTCACTGTTCTGTATGTTCCTGCATCCAAAATGCC